GCTTAACTAAACACTGATGACTTTCTCCCTGATTTTGTGTTTAGATGGGCGGATACAATTTCAGAGTTTAAAAAAACTCCCTACGTTGCAGAACCAATAGTAAATCTGCAGGGCGGTCCTACGGTGGCTCGCTGAACTCTTGTGCTTGTAAACATAGTCCGACTAGAAACATGTGTAGCGGTACAAAATGGCTCAGCCACGCTCACAGAAAACGCCGTCAAAGTTAGTGGATGTTTGTTGCTTTTGGGGCGACACATTCTCGCCAACTAAAAGAAACAAACATAATCTTTTACAAGGCCACAACTCATTCGTCCGGCCGGACTATAGAGAGAATTGCCTTGTTGTTTACAAATACTTCGGGTAGAAAACCAGCAGAGCTTTTAGCTATATATATATATATATATATATATATATATATATATATATGTATATATATCACATTTTTCACATCACTGTATCACCGTTTAGACTAATCCGATGTTTGTAAAGTCTATAAACACAATGATTGAACAAACATTACTATTTCTTAGCCGTTAGCGGTGTCTGTAATAGGTAATAACTCATTAAACGGTCCGTGAAAAAAAATATATTTTCCAGCGGATATCTTAGTTACAACATGGTTGAGGTAGCAAAGCAGTTTTGTGTTGCTATGTGTGGTATTTATTCAGTTTTGGGAAATCACGATGTCTAGAAAGCATCAGTGGCTGCAGCTGACAGGGACAGCTAACACTAGCAGCAAAGCTAACATCAGGAAGTCATCTGTTAAAAGCCTCTCGTTGTTGGATACGACATGAAACTACTCCAGTTAGCTCAATCATGTTGTAACTAAGACATCCGCTGGGAAAAAATATTTTCTTCACGGATGAGCACACGTTTGATAAAACGGAGTATAATCTCTCGGCATCCATTTTCAAGCTCTGTGTGTTTGTTTCCTTGCGGACGAGAAAAGGGGGAGCACACATTTCCGAGAAGGCGTGTCATTTTCAAAAATGCAAGAGGCGTTGCTTTGTTGCCGGCCGTTTTCGCCGGTGTGTTAAACACACTTTAGAAAGGAGTGTCCCCAGACTATCAGAAGGCGGAGATCTCTGATTGTCTGGTGACAAGACTAGTCCATTGGTAACAAAACAAACCTGTGACCATTAACATCCACTAAAATTATAACTATGACTACGCCATTGTGGCATATTGTGTGTAATATTTTCTCACACTGTTTAGAGGATTTGTACTTTTTTGTTAAGCACAGCTGTCTTTCTCTGACAACTTCTAAATGCGCATCGTTAAGGATACCAAACTCTCAGATGGTAACAGAGAGAAGCTAACGAAGCTAGTCCATTCATCTTTTTTACAGTGAATTATTTTTAAGACCTTTCAACCTTGACATAATTTAAGACTGATTTTTGGACTGCAGTGGTGTAATGTAACTAAGTACTTTTACTCAAGTACTGTACTTAAGTACACATTTTAGGTACCTGTACTTTACTTGAGTATTTACACTTTATGCTACTTTACACTTCTGAAAAGTAAGAAAAATACCTGAGTACTTCTACCACTGGAACATGCCAACATTACAAGTATTAAGTAAAAACATTACTAGGAGGTTCAGTGGTAGGTTTAGAAATGTGTAACATAAGAAATATAGACACACATTGTCATGGAAAAAAATTCTAAACATTTCCATGACTTTTCAAGGACCAACAATAAAATTCCCATGACCATTTATAACCAGTACACGGACAGAACTGTACAGTAAAGACTACTGTATTCCAAATGTTATTTTTTGTATATGGTAAACAAAACATCAACTGTTAATGTGTCTTATGTTACGTCAATAGCTAGCCTAGAGAAAGTAAATTTGCTGCCATGTTGAATTACATGGACGATTACTGTAACAGTTAATCCCATTCCATTCTGTGTAAGTATCAAAACACTCAGTCCACAGAAAAATGCACATAGTTCTCATTCAGAAACTGTGCTGTCAAATGAGCTGTTGGGATTTCTGTCAAATTGTGATGTCACAAGTATACTATATAGACTGTTTAACACATAAACACTGCAAATGGGTCCCTTTGTTTTTGCTGTTTGAAAGTTTTGCTGTGTATGTGAAAGACATCAGCTGACAGGAAGCAAACATGGACCCAACAATATAATTCCAGTGAAACCTTCCATAAAGATAAAAAAAACAAAACAAAAAACAGAGCGTTTCAGACAGAAGGTGATTACAGGTATATTCAGGCAGACAGTATGATAAAAATAACGTGTTTTTTGAACACTAAAGCATGTAAATATGTTGCAGTAGAAACCCAAAATATAATGATAAACCTGAATATCAGCATAATACGGGACCTTTAAACACACACAAATACTAATACCATGACTATTCCAGGCCTGGATAATGAGATTAAGAAATTACATGACTTTTTCAGGCTTTCCATCACTGTAGGAACCCTGTTTCATACAGAGATGCTAAATTAACTTTGATAAGAAGTAATTAAATGATTGATAAACCAATCTTGGTAATATTTGGGGCAACTTTGACCACACAAATTTAAATTTAAGGCTATTTAATGACTTTTAAAATGGAATATAAATCATTTTAAGACTTTATATAAGGACCTGCAGGCACACTGCTAACACTAGCTTTGCATTGTTTTTCAATAAAAACTAAAAACAGCATGTGTAAGTAAAAGATTGAGGTCTGGAGTCCATCAGAGTTAACTTCCGGCTCTCAAATTTAAAAACCAACCGTTAAACTAATACAAACCGTACTGAGGCACGAGCTAAGATAACTTCAACCGTTAGCCGACTGCGCGCCAGGGTGAAATAAATACGGAGAAAAGCATTGTGGGAGTTTTGAGTGGAAGTGTGCAAGTGTTAAAATTGACAGGTAAGTTATATTTCGCTACTTTTAAAACGAGTATTTTTTTTTTATTAATTCGACGTTTATCACTTTATACACTTTGTGTAGCTCTGCCTGTTGTAGAGTTAGCATTTTGCTGCTGTAAAATGTGAGTTTAAACATGACATCTTCATGTTACATGATGCTACAACGACGGTTGCTTTTTTAGCTAACTTTTCCGTTAGGGTAAGGCTCGATAAAATGTTTGAAAAGTGCTTACCTGAGTAACACAAGAGCAGCGAGCAGAGGATGGCCGCCCTCACAGAGAACAGGTGGTTGTGTCCCATTTTGTACTCTGCTGGTAAGAAGTTCACCGGAGATCACGGAGGTGTTACCGTCCGCTGTCAAAACGTTACCTTGAAACCGTGATTTGTGGGCAAAATCTGTCATCTTCGCAGCTGGGAGGCATATCAGGACAACTTCACCACTACTGTTGGTATAGCTGCGTTTACATCTGTGGGCGGGGAGTGAGTGTGACGATACTCTGGCTGAGTAACTTTACGGTGATTTCTCTAAAGCTCTGCATCGATGTGCGTGTCACTCATCCCACTTTAGCCCAGTTTAGCCGGGATGAGAGCGGGCAATGTACCTCTTGTGTCCGCGCACCCAGTCTGTGAGCCATCCGGTGCTGAATCAGGGAGCGGCTCGGGAGCTTACCTCTGGTGTGTTTGCAGATTTAAGCCCCAGTTCATGATAAAGCAGAGAAGGTGTCAAGAAATTATTTACAGATAATAGTCCGGTTTGTTGCTGCGTATTAGTTATCCAAACAAATCCACCTTTTTACGCACGGTGCCAAGAAATTACGCGTCCTTGGTGACCTATCTAACACTTCCCATTTAAAAATTCAATTTTTTACATCTTCTCCATGACAAGAAGCATTTTAAGTCTTCACTTTGGTCTGTTAGGTCCGCAAACCCGCATCATCCACTGTGGGAAGACAGGACTCATCTGAGGTCTCCGCGTCTTTCATCTGGTACCTACAACAGTCCCTCCTCCTTTCTCTCCTCCTCACTCTTTTCACACACGCACACAGGGTTCCCCGTAAAAGTGGTAGCTTGCATGTGTGGGAAATGATCCACTAATAACAATTAGATCCCATATGCTCCAAAAGAGTAAATACTGATGGTTTGTTTATTTTGTAAAACATTAAAGGGTGTGTAAATAAGTGACACATGCAGCTGAAACGTCCATGGGGTATTTCTGTGGCAGCTAGAGGGCAGACTAGGTGAATGAATATGCCCTGTGAAGTTTTAGTCCCCCTAAAATATTGATATGGGTAGAAGATGTGAAAGCAGGGTAGCAGATTCAGACAAAAAAAGACTGATTTCTTATTTCTTGCTGTTTACTGGATAAACATACTTCATATTCATAGTACAAATTCATATTATTACACTTAAAAAAATCAAACATGAAAGCATTCTCTCTCATGAGTCCTGGCAGGGTTAAAGAGGGGATAGCACAAAATCCTGCAAGTACTCCTCTTAACAATGTGCAGATTTAGAGATGCTTTATCGAGTTTTCTTGATAAAGAAAAACCTATTTATTCCTAATCAAGGGAATTGTCTTATTCAGTGGTTCCCAACCGGTCCGGCCACAGGGTGCAGATTTCTCCTTTGTCGTTAGTATATACTTGCCATACTTGCGTTTGGCCATGTCGTCAAGTTAGTTTGCTGTCTCTGTCAAGTAGCTGTCTGTTAGTCACTCACTCTACAGCAGCAAATGGCACTTCAGATTAAAAACTATCTTCCGGAAATTGACTGCACTTCAAAATAAAGTGTGCTCTTTACAAACTTGTCACGTTTGCAAGTCTCTTGTGGTCCATGCAGAATGGACTCAGGACCCACTTTTGGACCCCGACGCACCGGTTGGGAACCACTGGTCTAATTGTTTGTATAATATCTTGTCCCTCATCCACAGGTTATTCAGCCCAGTCACAGAATTAATGTTTGCATTGTACGTTTCTGCAAACCACGGATATGTTACATTTGTACATTGTTATGCAGCTGTTATGGTGAAACTTTAATCCATTCTGAATGGACCACAAGTGACTCGTGAATGTGTCAAGTTTGTTAAAAAAAAACTTTATATTTTGAAGTACAGTGAATTTACAGCACAGAGCTTTCATTTTGAATTGCTGTTTCCTGCTGCAGAGTAAGTGACTAACGGATAGCAACTTGACAGAGACAGCAAACTCGATGACGTGGCCAAACACAACTATGACGCTGAATGTATTAAACTGTGTGGACCTTGAACTAATGACTGGAGACAAATCTTCACCAGTTGGGAACCACTGTCCGAGGCGGCAGCAGCTCAGGGCCTCCAGGGCACTGCTGATGGGTTGTTGAACAAGGCAAGGAACCCCTAACTGCTTCAGGAGAGCCATATTATGGCCGACCCTGCGCTTCCCTCCTTAATTACGTGTGTGTGGTGTTTAAAAGGAGGGATATGAGGAAGCTACATTTCAACTGCCAGTTTGCCTGTGGATTGCTTAGGTTGACAAAAAAAGGAAAAATTTATATCAGTCCATCATCCCCTGCACCTCACGTTGATAAAGACAGCTCATATGCTACACCACTTTAGAAACGCTGATATGATACATATGAAAAGTACCAATTTAACATTTCTGTGGTTTGCAGTAATATACAATGCCAACAATTTCTTCTGGCGACTGAGTAGGGTTACTGCATAGTTTTCCCCAAATGACAGATAACAATGCTTTATAAATATGCATTGCAGTCTTGCAAAAACAAAATGTCCACTGGAACACGCTAGTCATCCTAACTGTATCCTGGCCTCCATCCTCACCCTGGAACCAGATGGCCAATCCATAGCTTCCTCTAGAGAAGACTAACAGAGCCATTATGTTCAGTCTCTAAAGGCCAATCTAGTTTGATCCATAAACACTCAACTTGGCTTAAACCTGCACTACATACTGTTACCACATTTGTCCTCACCCAGTTCCACAAATAATAATGCCTGGATGGAAAATAATATTTAATGGCTTACGGGATTATAATGTTGGTGAAAGGGAATGTGTTTTTTTACCCAACAATTATTTTTTCTAATCGTTTTCTCATCTTTTGTTCATTCATACAGTTGCTTTACTGGCTGACGTTGACACATTGTTGTATCTCAGTGCTCTGTGTATGGTTAACTTAATTAAAAGCATTTCCCTTGTTTTGGGTCTCACACAGGATACCAAACATCCTCCTCAATTTGGAGGATGACATGAGAGCAGCGAGTCTTGTCATCACTTCCTTAGCGATGGATTTTGGTGATGTCTTTCAGCTGCTTGGTAAATGATGCATGCAGGGCCTGTGATGAGATCTCCAGCCTGTTGGCGATGTCCACTGCAGCGCGGAGCATGTCTTCAAAGGCCAAGGACTCTTCTCTGATTCTGCTCCGGAATGACAAACAATCCAGGTCACCAGGTGGAGTGACGGGATGGAAGAAACGGGGGCAGATGTGGAGAGAGACAGAGTAAGTGAAAGAGGGGCTGAGGACATTAAATACATTAAGAGGGAGTGGAATACATATGGTTGTTGTTAAAGCTTGCTGCTTGTTGTTGCTGCTTATGGGATTGGAAAGACTGAGTAAAGGGAAGGACACATAAATAATGCAAAGAATGACGGAGACAGCGAGAGGGTTGTTCTACATACACATTTAAAAATATAGCCTCAAGCTGTTCTTCAAGGGTTCAAGCCAACAGGGACCATTTACAAAACCTGTATTAAAAATAATTAACAGATTTTATGACAATCAGACATTTGCTTGTTCATGGATGACCAAAACTGGCCTCACCTTTCTTCAGCAATGCCATCACCCCCTATTGGTCAGTCGCAGAACCATTTTGGGGGCATGCTTCAATAGCTTAGTTAAAAATATCTGCTGAGTTTGGTGATGTTTAGACAAACTGTCACTGATTTATTGCCAGATTTTGTGCCAGGCCAAAACAGAACTGATGGTGCCCCCTGTTGAGTGATTTTAAAATAATTTTACACCTGATTCAACATTGTTATGATACATATCCTGCAGGTTTGATTCTGATTTATAGTCTGATTTGTGTTATGCCACACCCATTTTTTTGCATTTGTAGCACCCCCGAGTGGTCAATTTATCCATTTTTTTTCAGGGTATGTAGACATTTCCTGCAAGTGTTGTGATAATTGGCCCAATGGTTATGGAGTTTGGTCTATTTATGTACTTAGCCACACCCTTTTAAAGTTCATTAGTCAGTATCTTCAAAACACAACTAGATATCAACACGATTTTGATAATTTTTAATAAGCTTCATCTAGTAATTATCCACAGAAAATTTGCTACAAATTGGACCATAGCTTTAAGGGGAGATGTAAAAATTGTTGTTATTTTTTTTAGAAAATTCAAAAAGGCAGAAATCTAGTCAGGCAGACTCAGTGGTTCTTGAGGCAGAATTGACCCTTTGCTAAGTCCCGCCCCCAGACGCAGACTCGCCAGTCATAATGTAGCATCGGGCTGGCTCAGACCTAGCCTCACGTCACGAGGCTCTTCACGTACGGGGAAGAGCCTGGTTTCCATTCACTCTGAATTTTGTCTGGATTCTGGTTCTGGTCTAGAGAGCGGATCTGGAATTCACCTAATTCACCAAAGTAAAAGTGTTCACCAAAGTAAAATTTTAAATTCTGGCGCACCATCAATTTACAATAAAAGGAAAAGGTTAACTTAGTGGCTTGGGGCTTTTCTTGTAAATTATATTCTTTAAATTAAAAAGTTTCACTGCATTTTTATTAGCTTGGTGCTTTTATTTTGACGGAAAGGCGCATCCATTGAATTCCGGATCCTGTCTCTCTCGCCCTGGTTCTGGTTCGTTACCAAAACGGCCACTAAATGGTCCCAGACTAGCTCAGACCAGGAACTGACAACAACACAGCTGTGCTCCATTGACTCTAATGCAATCGTTTCAAATTTCCTCCCTCTGTCTGCTTCTCTCTGGAGTCACTGTTTCATTTTTCCAAATATATGATAATATTTCTTCAGGGATACAGTTAGTTACAGTGTGGGCTCCATGCTTACTGTGACAGCTTGTCGGACCATCATAAAGGGGCGGGCTTAGTGAAAGGTCAATTGCAAAGTGAGAACAGATGGATATCTGTACAAAGTTTCGTGTAAGTCAGTCAGATGTATGGTGTAGGAATTGTGTTTCAAAGTTGACCTTTGATAACAGCGTCCAAATCAGTTTGATTGGGTTCACATTTGTTGAGCAGCTTTTGCAAACAACTTCCAATCACCGGTGAAAATTTCATGTGTTCAAGGAATTTGCAAAAGCATTTTTGTAGAATAACAATAAGCCAGCAAAAAAAACAACAGAGTTTCAGTCCTGCAAGCATGAACCCCTACAGAGTCATTTTAGAGGTGCAACATACCATGTTGTATATCTGTAGATATAAATGCTGTTTAGTGGCATTTTAAAAAGATTTTTGCTTTAGTTAACCTGGTGCTTCATCAGGTGAAATACATCACAATTTTCCAGAGCCCAAGGGGAATTCTTCAATTTGCTTGTTTTGTCTAACCACTCCGAAACCCAAAGATACACAATTTGCAATAACATCAAAATAGAGAGAAGCTACAAATCCTCACAAAGTGGTGAATGTGTGGCATTTTTGCTTGATAAATATCTTAAACAATTAAAATTTGCTTTTTGTTCTGATTACTTTGAATTGTGACCACACTGCAGCACCACAGCAGCTGTAAGAAGAGTAGTAAACAGAAACTTTGATACCCATCTAGAATGCAAGCTGCAAAGACACAACGCAGGAGTCCTGCATGATGATATTAATACTGCTCATTTCTTTTGATTGACATGTGCATTATGAAAGACAGGATGAAATGACAGTCATCAACGCAGCTGCCTATGCTCTGATAAGAGGCAAAAGATTGGCCATCTCTGCCATCTTTTGAACAGAGATGTTCACTGTTGTCAACAATAATTTGTTTACATCTTCAGTATGCCAACAAAGAAGAACTGATCTTTTTTTCTCAGCCGCTCTCCTTACATTTCAACCTTGACCTTTACAAAGCTCAGTAACAGCTCAGTACAAACACATTCTTCTTAACTTCTAGAAAAACAGATTATTGCACTCACTTCTGCATCCCAGCATGCAGCACTTCGCCCTCCAGCTGCTGTTCCATATCTTCCTCAGCCTTCTCTACCACCTCGTGGCAACTTTTGTGGTCCTCTTGGATCCCAATGACATTTTCCTTAATCACATCTTCATAGCTCTGATCTCCCAGCTCTGCCCCCACAAACTGCAACAAGTTCTCCATCACCGCTTTGTTTCCATGCTGGATGGCCTGCAGATAGGCCAGCTCCTCTTTCTCGGCCTTCAGCCTTTGAGCCCAAGCAGTGTTAGTGTTGAAGAAGACCGAGCACTTGTCAGGTTGAGGCTCGTACTGCAGCGCAGGTGATGGTGATGGCGATGGCGATGGTGAGAAAGCTGCTGATGTGATCCAGTCCTGATTGTTTCTTATCCTCGCAGGCTCATCACCAGCTGCCTGAGATGTGTCATTGGTGGCTATTATCTCAGAGTAAATGTCAAAGCCTGAACCCCAGTCTCCACTTTGGCACATGGCTGGGGTTGCCATGGATACCCAGACCAAGATGAAGGGCATCCAACAATGCCACATGGTAACCTGGAAAGAGGAGGAGGTGAGTGACTGTGGATAACTTCTGTGAACTGATCAGCAGGTGAAGAGGCACCTCAAAGGGTAAGTTTGTTTTTTAAACCTGGACCCTATTTTCACCATGTTTTTGTGTGAAAGTTACTAATGGGAGCAACAGTTTTTGAAACTGGTCCAGGACTGAGCCAGAGCGCTGCAGCCAGCAGCAGCAGAACAGCGCTAATCAAATATATCAAGATTATGTTACTGCACTGCCTATTTCTTGCCTACAGTGTTTTTAGAAACATATCTTAGTGTCGTGTTTAGCTGTAATAACGAGCATTTGTGAACAGGATGTGGGAGAAAACAGAGGCTGGAAAAACTGAGATCAAACTGTAAAACTAAGCAGCGCTGATCAAATACAAACCAAGATTCTGTTACTTAGTTGCATATTTCTCACCTCAGATGTTTTCAAAAACATGTTTTAGCTTACTGTTTACCTGTAATATGACATTGTTTGTTGCCAGCCGGCCGCCATTTTGTCAAATGGATGTGTTCACGCAAACAACCCACCAGCGGAAGCCTTTATTGATCTGGTGCAGGGCAGTGCAATCTGGTAGTTGTTGGTTTTCTCTGTCTTGAGCAAAAGAGTCATTTTTCTCTGTTTTCTCTGGTTCTGTGTTGCAGATTTCAAAATTATTTTCATCTTTCCACTGCATAGACATCCTAGTTTTATTTAAAGGTCTTCTTACCAGCAGTGAAATACTCCTTTTAGGGTTTAATTAAACAAAACCAGAGCTGGTGGTTGTTGGAACAGTGAAAAGATGAAACAGGAATGTTTTTGTGAGTTTTATTTTCTTTGTGTTGGCTGTGAATGAAGTGTGTTTTACGATGATAAAATTGCTGTTTATTTAAATGGAGTCTGGTGGGTTTGGTTTTAGCATTTTTAGTGGTTTCTGTTTTAACAAAAAGGATCTAACACTTTAACAAAAACATCTGTCTATGTAGGGATGCTTTCCATAATGTTCTCAGCTACTCAGAATAAAAATCTGAATATGTCAGTGGCAAAAACACTTTTAGTGGATGTAAATTCACAGTGTGAACATGCCCTGAATGATCTCATTGCAACCTGTTATTCTGATGCCAGCTGCAGTGCTGTCTCTCAATACTGAGCCAGTTTCAAAATATTGCTGTCTTCATTAGTCACTAAGACACAAAAACATGGGGAAATAGGGTCCAGATTGAAAACCACAGAAATCACCCTTTTGATGAGTTGTCCAACATTTTGGGATATGCACTTATTCACTGTCTTGTCAAGAATGTGCTGGAAAGATTGACACCACTTTCATGTCTTTCCAGTGAACTTAGCTTAGCATGAAGCAGGTGGAAACAGCAAGCCTTGCTGTGTCCAAAGATACAAATGAACATGATCTGTCTACCAGCACCCTTTTAAAGCTCAGTGATTTTTACTGCTCCCAAAAAAGAAACAGTCTAACACAAAATCCGTCATTAAACCAAAGTGTGTTGTTTTTGTACAGATTAAACAAACACAAAACATGTTTACTAGTGTACGTTAAAGGTGTGTGTGTTTGCTAGCCTACCTTAGCTGTTTGACACTGTGTCCTAACCAGCTGCTGGCTGTTGCTTGATATTTAAAGGACAAATATGAGAGTAGTATTAATTTCCTTATTTAACTCAAGTGACGACAGCATACACGTAACACTTTTAGAATGGTTTCAATTCAAACAGCATGCTAGCCTGTAGCCTTCTTATTAAATACGTGTAAAAAGTGAACTCATTCACTCCATGTCACCAGCAGTAATTAGCAAATAAGTCACGACACTCAGTTAAATAAATGTAAATTCATGTTTAAAGACAACTTTAAAAAAGTCAATATCTCTGCAGAACTTTGGAGCATTGAGGGAATATTAAGTTTGGACCCTCATTTGTCCACTATCACCTTTTTTTAAATGGCACCTTCACCACTCTGCTCTTTGAATAATCAGGTATAAACACTTACATTTTTACACGATGGAGCTGGGAATCCAAGGAGCCACAGGCTGTTTATTAGATACATTAGAGCAGCTAAAGCGTTCCTATTGCACTCTCTACATCTCCATGTTTTAAACCATTTCATTTAAATCATACAAGCTTTGTGGATAGTTATAATGCCACAAGGAAGATGCTCTGATGGTCCCAAAGGCTGAACCTCATAAAGGGGACTTAATTTTGTCTCATGACCTTTAGACATTTATTGTATGCCTTTCCCAGTCGGCATTCCCTCTGTCACTCTGTACCTTCCAGTAATGTAGAAATGGCTTCTATTTAATCTTTAATATTGTACCGGCACTCTGAATGTCACATTGCATATTTTAGCAGTAATCATTTAATACCAATGTACACAGTATCAGCTAACATTTCCTTCTTGGCGAATTTTTACAACATGTCACCGACACCTGTTTATATAATGTTATAAAATGCAATAGTGTTTAGTCATAGGAGTTTGGTCAAGGGATATCAGGACGTCTTGCTTTTATCAAGATCCACATTACCAGAGATGATATGTACACAATGTAATAATTTTATTTTAAGCAACTGAACACCTATTTGAGAAATGTAATCACTCAATGGTAAAATTAACTGTAAATCCCACAAATTCATAACATTGATAGATTTTCCTTGTAAATCATTTATTATTATTATTATTATTATTATTATCTTTATTTGACTTCATGTTTTCCACTGTTAGGTTTTGCTTACCATCTCATTTCAATAAACATATATAATACGTGGATGTATAAGATAGAATACAATATACTATCCTAGGATGGTGTTAGGCTAAAATGAAAACATCAGTACATTCACCTACACCAGACGTAAGACACAAGACACATGTAAAGTCATACCACGTTCAGTCGATTTACACATCACACATATACCTCTCACACTAACACACACACATACACACATTATATTAGTTCTATGTACTGTACTCACCGCCTACCTTCCAGGCAATGCCATGTATTTTAACACTTTGAGTATATTAAGCTAACAACATCATACTTTTACTTTTGTTCAGAAACACTTCTTATTATACTGGATGAAATGATCCTTCCATCCTGAGAGTAGTCAATACATAATGTGTTCAGAAAAAGGAACGGAAATAATCTGACCTCTGTGGCAGCTGCAGGCCTGTAAGAACTCTGACCAATCCCTGCCATTCGGTGCGAATGGAAAGAAACAATCAGATGCCTTCATGTCTCGTCCTGCCCGAGCCCCCCTCTGACCCTCCCTCCCTCCTCCCTGAGTGCACTCATCAAGTGTCACCGTTGACGGAAATATTCAGCACACTCCTCAGCAGAAATACCGAGTTAGCAGGAGTTTGCTGAACAATGGCAGAGAAAATGCAGCCAAAAGTACCACTTCCAGTGTTACTTGTAAGGGCTTGCCCCGCTAAACAGGCTGAGAAAAGAAAGTTGGAGGCAGAAAAGGCTGCGACGAAAAAGGCTTTGGATAAAGTGAGAAGACAAACCAGACATCAATATCAGTGCAGCTTTTGAACGGTGGAGACAACTGAGGGAGCTGAAGGGCCTGAAAGGTGATGCAGAGGTTGCTGTCTTTCTGTTGGACAGGTAATTATTTGTTTGCTTCGGGGGGATTTGTTATTTTACTTGGCTCTCCTCTGCCCTGCTGACTCCCACTGCAGGATGCGCGTTCAAGTTTGTGTGGGGCCGTCCTGCATTTATAAATGCAGGACTTTGACTCATATTGTTACTTTCATGCAGGTAGATTATCTGAATGCTTCCTCCACCACTGCCAACTTGTCACAATGAAACTTGAAACATGTGCTTTGGCCTACCTGGATAGATATAACAAGTTTTAGTCTTTTAGGAACTCTTAAAAAGATTTACAAGATATTGAAAACACATTGTCTGAAGACATCTGAAATTAAGTGATTTGAATTCCTCCCTGTTAAATTTCTGTAATGTCATTTCAGGTGTTTTTTCAAGGTGACAAAGCTTGATTTAAATATCTTTTATGTTTTATATATTGGCAGAAATGTAGTATAATATTCATAACTATGTTTTAATGAGTTTTTAATGACCTGAAACTAAGAATTTTGGTTTTGTTACCTCAGAATGAGCCATTTATATTTCCAAAGAGAGCAGGTCCTCTTTTACAGTACCCACCATGCTGTTTCTACAGTAGCCCAGAGCAGACAAATGAATCACTGGCTCTAGGGCCATTCACATTTTTTTGCGTCAGCCACTGTCATTCTCGTACACATTTGGCACACAGAAGTTTAAGTTGGTTGCAATGTGCAACATCGCCGCTAGATGGCACTAAATCCTACGCAGTAGACCTTTAAATTTTTTATTTATTTATTTATTTATTTATTTTTTAAATTGGTTTAAAGCTAAACTATGCAGTAATTGTTGGTTACTGTTTTCAAACATTTTCGGCAGTGAAAGAGAAAGCCAACCCCAGATTCACTCTTGTGGAGCGAGATGTATCCACTTGGTGTTTCCCCGTAGCTTCCTCTTGTATGCGTGCTGCCTACAGTCTGGCACCTGGCCGCTACCTTTTTATACAGTCCAGACTTCACCTGCGCATTGTACCTGGCAACATTCCGAACACACCAAAATAAGGAAATACAGGCAGAGGGCAGAGTCTCTGTACACTGCTACACATTTGTAGTGGATAGTAAGTGATGAGATTAATTTCTTGTGTATGAGTCTGCACATTGTTTTATTTACCTTTTAAAATTATGTGAACAAAGTGGGGAGCTCAGATCACATAGAATCAAATGGATAGTTTGGGAAGTATTATAAAATTCAGTGGTATTTACATTTCGACATTAAGTATTAAGTACTGTTTAAATGTTACAATTAATTCAGTTTCTCATAAGATTATAGTTTTTACTGTAATAACTTGATTTCACAGAAATCCACATGACAACATCTCATATTGTGCTTTTCAAGAGAAAATTCAGGTCATTCATGGAGAAATTCCAGAGAAATTTCTGCTGTTTTCCAACAGGAGTCTTGTAAAAATATTGTATTAAGTTGTTCCATTTGTGTTATGGTCATACATGTCTTAGCAGATGCATGAGTTGTGTCATGCTCTGGCTGTAAAAGCTGACATCCCACTGCAGCAGTGTTAGTTGTTTTTGGTAACGAGCGGCTGGCTGGGGATCTTTTATAACATCATTTCATAACACCTCGTAAATCCTTAAAACTCATGAGAGTACAGTGAGAGAACTGTTTTTGCAAAATATCTAACATCAGATGTGGCTTTGTCAGAAATGAGGTTTGTTTTGCATCAAAGTGTTTGCCCCTCCTCTCTGCATGTGTTACAGTCAAACAACGACAGTGTCACTTTATCATTTTGCAGACTGCCATTCATTATTCTCTCCTATGCATATGGAAATATATTTAAAAACCCGAACCAGGCCTGTGAGGCAGAGGCATTACAGAGTACTTTCTGCTGTCGGAGCACATTTGGTTTCAGCTGCAGTTTACTTTTACAGCATCTTTGAAACTATTTTGACTTCTCATTGCTGGAGTGAAAATTTGAGTTGGGTGACTCGCACCTATTGCCATGTTATATCGAGAAATGCAGATTAGATGCTCAGTCGTGCTTGATAGAACAGACACCGTAAAATTGTCTATTTATTTTAAGATGAGTTGTGGTATGGCCCAAACCCATAAAACAACCAACTGTTGGCTGCTCTCTCCCTCCCTCCCTCTGTTTCTGATTAATGGTGACCTCACATATGTTGCAGCAGCTGTAGGAAGAGTAGTAAACAGAAACCTTCAAACTGATCCAGACTGTGAGCAGAGACACAATCCAGGAGCTTTGTATCATGATGTGAGTAACACAGGCTGATATCACCAACTGGATTTAGAGTAATTTCCTTAAGTGTCACGTCATGATGAATGAATGGGGTTTGTTATTTGGACAGTTCGAATATTTCATCTATTATTTATGTCATAAGCATTTACAAACATATCATATATGCTGCTTTACTGTCACTAGTCAACCTTTGTTCTTAAACCCAAGTTCCTTTTCTTCCAGGGGGCCACCATGGAACTTTTTTTGGGGAAAAAAATATGAACAGTAGTCAATAAAGTTAAGTTGATTTCTGCTTTTGGGGGGTTGAGCTGGTATACGAGTTTAAACCCGTTTGATTTTTTTGCAAACCAGCTGAACTGTCATTTGTCAATATAACACATTCTGGCAAATTAAGCTTACATCAACAACCTGTGCTGACGACATCACAGCGCTAAATCCAATTCATATTGCATTAGTGATGGGAAATATGACAACCTGATAAACAAAATGTGTGTCTGTTTATTAACAAACTAACAGAGCCACTAGTGTCCAACAGGCCATTTGCAATATACTACAGAGCAGAGCAACATGAAGGAGATGAAATTTCAGTCGAGGTGAGGGGGGGGGATGAAAGGTGCATGTTGTTTGTTTACTAGAAACGTGCATGGTGCGCCAAAGTTTTGTCCATGGTCCAGTTCTTATTTATTCTTGTTGCTAGCTTTGAAAGCACCACAATGGATGAAGCATGGCTGATTCGTGAGGTTGAGTTGATGAATCATCTATAAAATACCTCCTTATTTCACTGTTAAAAAACAACATGAGGTGGCTTAGGGAGATCTCAGAGGGGTTTAAAGATTTTGGGAAATTGCCGTTGTTAATAACAACCCATGTGCTTTTGGCTATTTTATATGTCATTTCCATTAAGTATTACAATATAACGTGTGTCTTGTTTGAAGAGTACAAATGCAGGAAAATAGTGAGTACTCACAAGTGGTTACATCTTCAGTCTGATCACGAGTGCACAGCTGATGTTTACATGGTTTGGTGACATGATGTAACAGAAGTGCTTATTTAATGGATTCAGGGTGACAGAGAGCTCTGATGTAAGGCAATAGTCGGACGCTTGTTTGCTGATATCATGTGGTGTCATTATGTTACACGTGGGAGCGGATGCTAAGTCAAATGCAGCACCTGGTAAAATAAGGTATATTGGTCTGGTGTTTGGCTTAATATCAAAGGGGGTTTCGGCATTTTTACACCGGCCCAACCCTAGTCTGCTAAAATATGTAATTAGAAAAACTACACAAGTCGCTTAGGTGACGCACTTTCTCTCTCACCGAAGCTACGATGCCTGTGTGTTTTGTTGTACCAGAATATACTCGCATGAGCAACAGGTCTTGCTCATTGTTTTGCTTCCCTGCTGATTAAAGAGACCAGAAGTTGCTGAATAAAACACATCAGGTAACAAAACGTTACATTTGTGCATGGGTTACCTAGCTGGTGTTGGTGATGTTTATTGTATGAGACGAGAGATGTAGTTCACTGAGCGTTTCACGCAAAACTTAATAGTACTATGACAAACTTCTTGTCTTGAAAATATACCTTTGAAATCGACAAACATCAAATGTGTAATTCATGACACAATTCAAACAGGATAAAAAAATTATTTCTATCTCACCATTGACTACTGTACATATTTTTTTCTGAAATAAGGTCCCATGGAGACACTGGAAGAGGAAGGACTTTGCTTCTCTATAGTGAGCACCCTCAAGTGTTCAAACCTTCAGAAAACATTTTTAAAAGTCTACATTTTGTGTTGAATTAACTTTGACGCTGATTACCAGGACTCAGAAAACACACTTGTAGGTGAGTTTACTGTGAACCTTGTCCTGAGCTCAGAGCAGAAAACACTTGGAAGCTGACTCCATCTACTAATTGGAAAGCTGCAGAACAGCATGTCCAAAACTTTTTTATTACTCTGAACTTTTACTGCACTTGTTTGGATGTATATAAATCAAAACCTTATGGCATAGAGTGACAACACTCTCAGCCTAATGACAGGAGGCAGCCAAATGGAAATATAATTCATCTTAAAATATAACTTTATTGTCTCTGTGTTCAATTACCATCGCAGCAGTAAAAGGCACGAGTCAAAGGACAGTTAGTGACATTAATTCCGTCTCTTAAATGCCTGCTAACTAGAAGCACACATGCTCCTCGTTGTATCACAGATTGGCAGGAGCAGTCGCCTTTGTCTTTGGAAAATGTCTGCACAATTTCCACGCTGGCGTCTTATGGTTTAGCTGAAACACTGTTTGTGTTAGACTCTCTGCGGCCTGTAGTGACCTTTTTTGGCTTCGTTGTGAAGGATCTGTCATTGAGAAGTGGCTTTTATAGACTGACTTTACTTTTGGCTTAAAATAGTTGACGCTCGCCTGCAGTGGGAAAGAAGTTCACCGCCAAATGCTCAGAACACCATTAGGATATTTGAGTTCTTATTTGTAATCCTTAAAGAGGAGCAGCTTGCATTTAGTGGTTCTGGTTCTGTAGTTGTGCAGTGAGTGATTTAAACAACTTAATTATAGTTCAGTCGGATTTATCCACTCCTGCTGTTAATTGGACATCCTTTAACCGTTAGCTCAGTCCAGTTTGCGCGCTAATGCCACTGAGGTGGATGCACAGTCACATTAAAATGATCAGGAGTAATTTTACCACCTTGACTGAATAAACAAGTCAAAACTACAACTAACAAAAAATGCTTATCAAAAACTGCTCTGAATCACATAGTGTTTCTTTTTACTTTCAGGACATACTGCAGCTGCCCTTTCAAAGTATGTACAGTTGCATTTAGTATGCATACATCTGGGACATATCACAGACTGTATAATAAAGATCGACGACATGACAGCTCTCCAGAAGTGAAGCCAAAATATCTTAATTGCTTCCTGGTGGCGACTGTATAGCCTGTAAACTCTGCTCCCTCAGTGTTAGTGAATGGGACATGGGCCAAACTTAAAACTCAGTACAAGTCAGTATACAAATACATGTCAAATGAAGTTATTCCCAAAGATGGTTTCTGTCATTTTAGGTAGTTCTTATCGTGCTGATGTTAATTCATTGGTTCATTTTCTGACATGTTTGTTTTGACATGTTTGTGTTTAATTAGTTGCTTTAAAAAGCGGGTCTGACGTCTTGATTGACAGCTGTGTGTTCCACTTGGTGTGCTCGCAATAATTGGCACTGCTTCCAGTTGATTGGATGTGTATATGGATGAGATCTCAATATCGCAGCAATTGTTACTGTGCAGACTCTGGCTCCATGTGACATCACCAGAGCAAGATGGCAGCAGTTGTATCCAGGATATTTTGGATTGGAGGAAGTGGAGACACATTGTCCATCTTTATATACAGTCACTGGGACATTACACTTTGTCATAACATTGCGTCCTAAATTTTGACTGTCTTGCTCATATATCCAAACAACAAAAAGAGGCTGTATCGTCTTAAGTTGCTGTGAGCTGCAAATTCACCACTTCTAAGCAGAAGGCAAACAATAACGTCACGCAGAGGCAGCTGCTTGTACCGAAGAGCAGCATTAAAGTGAGAAGTGCTCACTCTGCAGCTAAATGTTAGGACCATATTGTCAGAAGGACACTGTACACTGACTGACAAAAAAAAAAAAAAAAAAAAAAAACAACTGCTTGACTTGAAGGAATCTCAGCCAACTGAGGGGTCACTGACTGATGATTTGAACCTCAGACTTTCGGGGGCAGCCCTGCTATGAACTGGGACATACTTTAGCTTTTATGGTATGCAAAATAGTATGGGCATTAGAAGGCACCTACAGTCTTCAAATCACTTGTTAGATATTTGATAATGATCAGAAAAGCAGCAAATCCACACAGTTCTGGCACTGGCACAAAGATGTTTGGCATATTTATTTGAAAAATCAATCATCAAAATAGCTGCCTAAACAACTAATCGATTGACTAATTGTTTAAGCTTTACAATGACTAGGGGAAATTTAAAACTGGCTTGTTGTGACACATTTACCAGTGAACTCTCTGTTTCCTTTTAGTTGTGAAAGTGCGCCTTGAATTTGATATTCACCCCTCGCAACATACTTAGCTGCGGGTCAGAGCTAATCTGAGTGTTTGTGGTGAAGCTGCAGCTCAGCCCCACGGCCCCTCTTGTCAAAGCCGTAACAGGTGTGTTTCACAGGTGTCACAACACTCAGTCGCTCCAATGTTGTTATGACAACAAGGTCTTTGGCAGTAAGCCAGTGTAGCATAAAGAGGCGTCGAAGGTTCAGTGTTGATGTACAGTTCAGTGATAGGTAATCATGTAAGTTGGAGACATACTCGGCAGCTAAATAATCAGAGAGATTTGTAGAGATTTGTTTGCACACACACACCTATACTTAAACACACATACATGTCAATACTGCATGTAAATACCATCTGACATAGAAAAACAGTCAATAAACATAATCTACCACCGAACAATAATTTAATTGTCTGTATATAAATGGTATAAATGCCTTAAAGCTTTAAAAGGCTTTTTGTAACTTAACATTATTTTTCTCTCCTTTTACAAGGTAAGAAAACCCCAGGTTGCCATTTTACCCGACAAGTAAAGTTTTATAAGTCCCAAAAAACAAACTTACCAAACTCCAGGAATTTTTCACAGCTAAATTCTGCCACCTCCACTTCCCCAGTTAAGCAAAATGTTTCGAGAGGGCTCAGCACTACCATTCACACAGGCACAGAGAACAAATACTCACTTGGTTTCCTTCTTCATGTCAGGGAAAAAAATGCAGACACACGCACACACAATTAGGGTTTGGCTGGAGAGTGTGGTCGTCTGTGTGCCCCTGTCTGCTGTTGGGAGGGGAGAAGGTAGGGGAGGGGGATGTTTGTAGAAGAGGCTGAAACTCAATGATTTCTTTCTTTGCAGTGGAAAGAGGGGCTGGCAAAAGGAGGGGTATAGAGGGGGAGAGTAATGTACTTCACATATGTGGGCTCTGGTGGGGGACAGAGGAAGCATGAGGGTTCCTCATATAACCACGCTGGATATACATTTACTATTTATTCTAGGAAGGAGCCCATTTGAAATAAGTCTCAAGTATGCCCTTAGGTCATTAAAAATTGGGAAAAAACAACACCTCTTCTTCCCAGCAGTAGTGACAGATTAATAATGCACTGTGAAGTTGTGTTGCAGGGTTGATAAATCTCCGATGATGTGGTTTGATTCTGTTTGCATTAATGAAGTGAATTCTTAAAATCGCAGAGTACTTGAAAGTCCCGAGGTGTAGCTCTCACCTCCAACTAATGAAACTTCATTTAAAACATTCATTTTTTTTTTACTTACAGCAAAATTAAAAATAAATATTGATACTGGAAACTTCTCAATTTTTCTTACTTCTGAATTCCTAAACCAATTTGTCCACTATGAATGACCATATTCCAGTGTATCCAGGTGGCTTATTTAGAGTGACAAAACATGTAATCCCTGTTTTAGTGTTGAAGCAGGGCTGAGGAACTTATATCACAATTACAGCTGCTATTGGAAAACTTATGCCTTTACATCTGTAATTTACATTACAGCAATTTAGGTGTATTCATCTAAAACTGCGGAGCACTTTAGCTTGAGGTCAGGGATAAGTGGAAAATTGATTACAGCAGCTCTCCTTACAGTATGAATATTATTTTGTTTAAAGGCACACTGTACTTTGGGTACTTTTAGGATGAATTTGCTACGATAGACTGTATTAGACTGCAGTGCTCCCGTAGAGCTTTACAGTGAAACTTTGCTTGATTAAATTTTACACAAAATCAATCAGTACAAAAACTAGGCAAACATGAATAGGGTCAAAATGAATGGAATTATTTGATTAAAAGTCCAGTGTTTAAGATTTAGTAGCATCTAACGGTGGTTGCAGATTGCAGTAGGGTTGGGCTGGTGTAAGCATCACATTTCTTTAATATAATTTGAGCAAGATCACTTTTTTATTTCAATTTTTTACAGTTTCAAAATAACAAAAAAAGGAAAAGGGCCTGAAGCAAAAGTTTGGGCACCCTGCATGGTCAGTACTTAGTAGCGCCCCCGACTAAACACTTTTGTATTCAGCTGAGAGTCCCTCAGTTCTTGCTTGGGGGATTTTCACCCATTCTTCCTGCAAAAGGCTTCTAGCTCTGTGAGATTCTTCAGCTGCCTTGCATGCACTGCTCTTTGAAGGTCTATCCACAGATTTTTAATGATGTTTAGGTCAGGGGACTCTGAGGGCCTGAAGCTTGTGCCTGTTGAGGTAGTTCACTGTGGATTTTTAGTTGTGTTGTAGGCTGCTGTGGAAGCCATCCTGTCTTAATCTTCAGCTTTTTAAAAATGGTGTGATGTTTGCCTCCAGAATTTGCTGGAATTTCATTAAATCCATTTTCCCCTTTAATCGGTGAATGTTCCTCGTGACACTAGCTGTAACACGACCTCAAAGCATGATCTATCTGCCCGTGTTTAAGAGTTGGACAGGTGTTTTTTCATGAAATTCTGCACCCTTTTTTCTCCAAACATAGCTTTACTTATTGCATCAAAAACGTTCTATTTTAACTTCATCAGTCCCCAGGACTTGTTTCCAAAAATCATCAGACTTGTTTAGATGTTCCTTTGCAGATTTCCGACACTGAATTTTGTGGACGCAGGAAAGGTTTTCTTCTGATGACTCTTCCATGAAGATCATATTTGTACAGGAGTGGCTGCACAGTCGAACAGTGCACCACCACTCCAGAGTCTGATAAATCTTCCTGCAGGTCTTTTGCAGTCAAACGGGAGTTTGATTTGCCTCTCTAACAATCCTACGAGCAGCTCTCTCAGGACGTTTTCTTGGTCTTCCAGACATAAACCTGACCTCCACAGTTCCTGTTAACTGTCATTTCTTTATTACATTACCAACTGAGGAAATAGCTACCAGAAAATGCTTTTATATCTTCTTACAGCCTTCTCCTGCTTTGTGGGCATTGGTTATTTTAGTTTCCAGAGTGCTAGGCCGCTGTTTAGAGGAGCCCATGGCTGCTGATTGATGGGACAAGGTTTCAGGAGTCAGAGTATTTTTAAAGCTTTGAAATTTGCATCACCTGACCTTTGCTAACAGTGATTGTGAACAAGAGCCATAGCAAGCTAATTAAGGTCTGAGACCCTGTAGAAGTTGTCTGAGCGCTCAAATGCCTTTGAGTGCCCAAATGTTTGCATGGTGCTCTTTTCCTTTTTTCACTCTAAAATTGTACAAAACAAAAATAATACGCTAATATTGCTTAAAATGTTGAAAAGCATGTGTCATCTTTAACTTAATAGCTTTTGGGGATCAGTTCATCTTCTCTTTACTTAACAAAATTTTGACCAGGGAAGCCTAAACTCTTGCATGCCAGTGTAGATATCTATGGTATAGACAGCTCCATCAAATCAGCAGTTCTTTGTCCATTGTGCCACTTTTAGAATGAGCAACGGCAGTAAATAGAAACAGGGTGTCCAACAAAACTTCAGCTCAAAACAACAACACTGCATCGCCTGCAGCCAGTGAGGACACCTCTTTCATCAGCTTTATATCCAAAATGTTGTTTGATGTAGTTTAGTTTTTTTTTTTTTTCTTTAAAAAAAACTAACGCCTGCACACTTACTCCACACCACCAAAGTTTGATAATGACAACATTTTGATCCTGCTCAGGTCTTTGTCAGGTCAGAATGCCACACCCATATTTTTACATGATGCACACCAATAGGCTGACAAGCTCTATGATGCAAGGTGCCAAATCATCCAGGGTGTTAGGACATCTGAAAGCACTGACAGTTAACAATACACTTGAATTGAATCAAACATTCTGACATGATAAAGATCCAAGTAGGATCAAAACATTGTCATCATTAAACTTTTGTGGAAAGTGTGCAGGCGTTACCTTCTCCTCATTGGCGCTGTTCTCTGATAGCCTTCCACCTACGTGATGTCTGTTTGATTACTCTCCATCAACTCATTATTTCACAAGAGCCATGAAAGATGATGCTTACCATTTAGAATAAAAAAGAGATGGAACAGATTCTCATCTAATGACCAAGCCGTGTTTGTGTTGTTGACAATGCTACATCCACAGAGTGCATTTTAACACCAGGTATAAATGGGTTCTTTTTCATTTCCTCTCCCCATCTCTGCACAGATGTTTTCGTCTCTTCAGTGCAGAATAATAGACAGCAAAAAATGCCTGAAAAGATAATGCACATGTTTCCAGAATAGTGCCACAGGGGGCCGGCTTCACCAACAAAAAAAATAGAGAGAGATATTTATTTCTTCATCTTGGAGGTACTAATCCATGACAGCTGCTGATGGCAAACAGTAATCCAGATCAGCAATGATTTGAATGATTCATGATACCTACTGCAGAGCAATGTTTCACCAGAGGCTGAATTTAAAAGGGTATGGAAGAGATCTGTGATTTTTATCGACCTCTTATCGGCAACCAAGATATAACATTGACAAGTTTCTGACACTTATCTACGAAGAGGATTAAACACATTTTAAGTCACGGATATTCAGATATCTGATAATAGGAAAGTGTCATCACAGGGACTGGCTGTTGTGTTGAAAGCACATGTTTACTCTCAGGGTTGCACAAAATTTTTTTAATAATTTAATGTATTAATTTAATTTAATAACATTTTTACAGGTTTAAATACCCCACTATACAGCAGAAATGAACATGTTTACAGTCTGGGACGAAAAAATGGTTTTGGTCTCTTTAGCTAATTTCAACATTAATGACAACTGTGTGGGCAGTGAATTTTTTATAACTCACCTGTTCACATTTAATACATTTCAAAGTTACACAAATTTAGGGGCAGGGCTGCTTTGAGTGACAGGCTGTCTGCCAATAGTATCCTGGGCTTCCAGTTAGATCCACCCCTCACTCATCCTAAAACCAAGATGGTGATGGCCGAAATGCCAAACTTGAGGCTTCAAAACCAATGTGTGCCGTCACGGCCTCATTTATTTCATTTATGCTTTAAAACACCAAAGTCAAACAATTGGGGATGTCCCAATCACGTTGTTTTACCCCCAATTTGAATCTACGTAATTCAATATGAAGTATGTGCCGATACAGAGTCCTGATCCGATGCCTCCATTTTCCAAGATATCTCTGTGTGGGCATTTCATCCGCGGGACAGATATAAAGCTCTGGCAGCCCTGCACCAAAATGATCAACTTTTCCATATTTATCACAGACTGATATTTACGGAAGAGGGAAAGATATCTGTTGGCTGTAATTGACTGTTCCTTGTAGCATGACCTGTGGTATGCCCTGCTGCATTCCAAAAGTTGAACTCTGTTTATCTCGGGGCGTAGCCATCGTGCCTTGGAAATGCGTGTGCCCCGCTCTGGCATCGCTCTGGCATTTGAGCATGCCTGCCGCACATCTACATTGAAAACAATGAATTTGAGGGAGGCAAAAAACACGGCATGTATACGGCCCCTAATACCACGCACTCTTCAGGTAACTTGATTAGACAGCATATTCAAAGTGATCATTTTGGGACATAAATGCAACAAAGATAACACATTTTAACTGGAAGGTTATTCAGGAAATACAGTTGAATGGAATGAACAGTTTTATGCTTATTCTCATAACACTGAGCAGCACATCTCCACAGTTAACGTGCCTGTTAGTAACACACCTGAGTGAAGCAGCTCTCATATTCCAGCTGGCACAGAAGACAGTCCCGACACAAAGTCAGCTGTC